GGGTGGGGGGGGGGGGGAGCTCCAGTTCACCCACCCCACCCTTCAGCACCAACTTGGAAACTCCCAAAACAAGCTTCCTCTGCTGCCTTTTCCCCTTCCCATTCTGAAAAGAGTGAGCGCTGGCAAAGGAGCTGTGGCCATTGCTATGGGAACCTGGCTGCAGGTTCCCAGCCTATTCTCCTCTCTGGAACCAGGAGTGAACTTCTGTCTGGTCTGTGGTAACGCAACTCAGAACTCTTTGCAGAAATTCTTCTGAGTTATAGCTGGGAGCTGCGCTTCCGTCTGTACCCTATATAGGAAGTGGTCCCTTGAGCCCGTCAGTTTGACAACAGGCTATCAGATAACTCTGTACATGAACAATGTGTGCTCCTGGAGAATGGGGGTGGGTGGGCATGGTGACCACTCATAGGCAGCGGGGGTGTGGCAGTGGTGAGCAGTGAGCTCCTGCAGGTGGCCATGGTGGTGTTGGGGGGGGGGAGTGGCAACCACCTGCAGACACTGTCAGCAGTGTTGGTGGTGGCCAGCAGCAATTGGCAACTGCCCACAGATGCTGCCAGTGGTGTCGGTGGAGAGGGAGCAGGGGGGGTGGCAAGCGGTCGACACTGACAGTTTAACATCTGATGCTGCCGGCAGCACCCAATCACAGGGAATGCACCGCCAATCTCAGGGGGTACACATGCACCCGTGTGCACCCCGTACACATTGCCATTGACACTGTATATACACCTTTCAGTCTCTTTGACTGGTGAGTTTTTGTCCATGCTGTTCTAGTGAGGTAAACTTCCTTTAAATAACTTTTTAAACGTTGCTTCTCAAAAGGCAGTAGCTATCTTGTACTTGTCAAGATAGATATCAAAATATTGATTAGGGGATGGTTAGAACCGTAGTTCGAGTCCTGGTTATGCACAACAACAGGTTAACAATCTGATAATATTCTCAGACAGTTGGATCTTCTCAGCAATATCTTACTCAAATGCTGAAATGCTAACACAATCTAGATCACCCATGAGT